AATTATTATTATTAAACTACATTGGTAATAATTTTTATATTTTGGTTACTTAGAACAAAAATCAATTTACTTAATTTATATTTTTCGGTAAATAGCTACCCCCAATAGTTGTATACAAATTATTACATCAAGTTAAATTTAAATAAATAATAATAATACATCAAAATAAGAACACATAAGAAGTGCAAATCTCATATGTTTAAATGAAAAAAATTAGTGAGAATTTTGCTGTTAATATTTTTGTAAAGATTTATTCATCGTGTACTGTAGATATACCAACAAACGGTTAACGATATTATTTACTTTTCAATCTTAATTTATTTTTAATTGAAAACGGTATCTGCTAATGTTAGTATCAATATTCAACACGTCGTCTTATTTCTAATACAAATCTCGATCAAATTTTTTTCGCATAGTCGCGTTATCCACAAGTATGTGCAATAAAATAAAATTATTAAAAAATAAATCTTGCATATATTATTATTGATATATATTATATATAACCAATTCATTTTCAAACAGTGCCATTTCAACAAGTATCTGTTTCTTGATAATGTCAAGAATAACGAGTGCAAATAAAATACATATCATTATTCACAGGTTGTAGAGATAAATAGTTAATTTGCTACAATAACCGTTATAAACAGAGTATTTTACCAAATACGTTCGATCTCAAACTTCATCTTATTAGAACTTACTGAATAACCACTAACTTGTTAAAACACTTTGTCAGTGACATATGAGCCAAGCCGCGTTGTATCAATAAAGACACATCAGTAGAGCTAATAGGTTTTGATTATTCTCAACATTTCAACTACTAAGATAAACATTTAGATACATTTTTAATATAGCCTTGCTATAAACTGTTGAATAAAATAGTTATTTGGCATCATCAAATATTTACGTATAAACTTTCTGATCTTTTCTGTTTTAAATAACCCTTAATAAAATGTTATTAAAATATATTGAAAGTTTACACAATACAAAATACACATATAAACTCAATGCGGGTCTGATACCTAGCGTGCAAACAACTCATCATAACTTGTATTCAAATAATATGACTCACTATGAAAAACTTTCAGATATAATAATATCACATAAAAATATAATAGATGGTTAATTATTTACTAGTATAAAATAAACATTTCTGAAAACTATACAGCAAACAAATTGCATACTCCATAGCTGGAGAAATAGGGAGGGGTGTAATGCTGGTTTATGTCAAGTGTATTTTATGAGGAATATCAAATATTTAAGTATATTTTAAACACTTACATTAAAAAAAAAAAAAAAAATCAGTAATAAAATCGTTGTTTTTTCATAAATAATTTATTTCATTAAAAACCAAGAGATAAAAAGATTAATATTGGTTTCAAACAAGTGATTGATTGTTTTCAGTGATAAAGATTATTCTCTGAATATATATTTTTTGTTCAGATTTAGTGGCATTTTTAATTCACTCTAATATTATTATACTGAATATTGCTAATATGAATTTTTAAAACTTAATAATTATCTTATTGTTTGTTTGTTATTAATTACCGATTTCCTAGATAATATTAAAATAATCAAAATAACTAATTCTTTTAGGTGTCTTGTTTTAATACTTATGAGAATTTATTAAAGATTGATCACAAATATGTTTGCCTATATTAAAAGAAAAAAACACACACCGAGAGGTCATTAATGATATTAATGATAGGTAAATATTATTGTTAAATTAAAAATTAATCTATCAAACGAACAATTAACATTTTACTAAGTACTTACTTTGAATGATTTACTTACCAAAATTACATATTATATTTTAGACTATATTGAAGAATAACACAAAATAAAATTAATTATGATAGTTAAGTATTTGTAAATTGTAATATTTTTAATGTACGGAGAAAATAAATTTTACATTTATTAAAATTTAGGAAATTTATTTTAGATTCTGAGCGGAGCGATGAATGTATTGATCTTACAATTATGTGTATGTGTGTGTGCGTGCTTTTGTTTATTTTATACATGTATACACGATAAGTATTCGAAAAAATACTTTGATTTTAAGCTTTGAGAATGTTTTCTGATAGAAAGTTGTATCTAGTTTTTACTTTAAGGAAATTAAAATTAAAGTTTTCCTTAAATAACGCGGAAAAACATAAAAAAGAAAGACATTTAAGAAAATCAGGAATTTTTAGACGATTCCCGGTTTTTGACAAAATAGATTATTTTTTTTTTCGGTGTAACTCTAAAACAAATAAGTTATTTAATATTTGAATTGTTTTTAATTAATTCAATCTATTGTATTACCTATTAATAATAAAATTAATTAATTTAATATCAAAAAACATACCATGATATATATTTAATGATATAGACTGCCTCTGTTCAGAATCGTATTTCGTATACATAGATATATTATTATTGAATTGAAATTTCACACATCCACCTACTCAATGCCTACCATATACTATAGTGATACCCTTATGTTGTTTGCCTATCTTTTTAAATATAATCTTACTATTATTTCGCTATTATGATATTAATCTTAGTATTAATTATACTTATCAAAAATGCGATATTTAAATAAAAAATAATCACATATTATTTATAGATGTATGATTAGTGAAAACAACTAAATGATTTTAATATATTATTAATGGTATACAATTATCTTTAATTAATATATAATTAAATTTTTAAGACCTATTTAAAATGTTGCTGACTATAGTAAACAATTTTAATATTATTTAATACATAAATACTCTTATAAAATGAATAATTAGTAATCATCATTCAAGCATATACATTAAGATAGATAGTATCAAATGATCAATTTTCAAATCTTGTAAAAATGTTTCGAAACTGAATAAGTATATTAGATGTATTATTTAATTTAATTTAATTAATTAATAATAATTTCAACTAGTCACTATTCAAGGAAGCAACATTAATATAAATCGTAACTTTGTAGTTAGACTGTTGACTTTTGCACCATTTATTTACAAACAACAAAAAATAGTAAAGACATTTGACGCTAATAAATACTGAATAAAACTGATAATTTAACCAAAATGTATTAAACTCTGAGAGTAGGTATATTATGTGCCTTTTTTATGATACATTTAATAACGAGTGCATATAGTGCACATAATCATGATGTAGTTGAACCCACAATGTTTTCGATGTTTCGATAATAATATCATTAATATTTAACGACATATCCGTCGATTTATAGGTAATATTAATAAACAGTTTTATTTATATTAACTAATTATGTATGCAGTACTAGAGTTCAGACAGTTAATATTCCCAATGTTAATTCCGTCTGGATGAAATAAAAATTTAATTTCTATTGAAAAACTCAATACTGAACAAAGATAGGGCTAAGCAATTATTTTTTTTATTAATAAATAATTTTTATTTGTGTAAAAAATGTGTAGACAATAGTACAAGTGCAAAGCTTTAGGGTATGATATTTAATTGTTCCATCAAGATTCCATTGCATATACTGCATATACCTACTCGTTGCGTATATATACGTATTGTAATGTAATGTTCTTGCCAATCATAATAACCGACCTAACCTAACGGCTAACACTTATACTGAATAATGAAAATTTAAGACTGATCTTTATGCAATATATTACATAAATTCTTTATCGTATTAAAATACTCTCTCACAAATAAGTTATGAAACGTCTTATGATGTTTCTGTATACTCCAAGTTTTTTCAAAGATTTAAGACTGAATTTTCAGAGTATATATACAATAGTAATATACATAAGTATACATAATATTGATTGTAAACGTTTGTATAACAAAAGCTCATAGATTTGAGTCCAAAGCCAGTTCACTAACCTAACCTAATCCTAAACAAATGAACCCTGCAACCGGCTTTGGTGATTTGGGCTAACGCGATCACGTGACCCATGTATGTTTCAGTGTGGGATGGAAAAGCAAAATGAAAAGCGCACCGGAAAACGGATGGTTGGGGTAGAACACGAAAGGATAAAAATAAAAACGAGAAAAAGTTCACCGACCGCTGCTGTCGAATGGCCGCCGCCCGCCTCGAGCGCCTCTGGCGTTGTCGTCATCATCGCCTTACACATATTATACCCACGTACACGCGCGTTAGTTGCCCAAGTATTAAAATATGGTGTATGGAAAAATCGCGTGGGTGCCTGCGACTTACCGCCGTAGGCAGCGACGATGACGCACCGGGGGTAAGTACCCAATCGGGGTGACTAGTGGTGTAGCTGTGCGAAGAAGCGGCGATTGCAGCGACGGCGGTGGGTGGCGGGGGCGGTGGCAGAGTAAGGGTTGTAGGTGGATAGGCTGGGTGAGTGAGTTGGTCGCATAGTGAAGCAAACTATACTACTACACAGTATAGTCGTCGTTGGTGATACGCGCGCGCCGTCGCCGCCCACGCCATGCTGTTACCGCCGCCGCATCGGTTCGTAGCTTTCGGTGAGGGCGAGGTCAGACCTGCACACGGTATAATATTGATTCAGCGCCGCGCACAAGTATACCCATTATAATAACGTGCAATTTACGGGGACGCGGGCTATACGCAACTGCATTCTTCGTCGTGACGTATTACCGCTGGCAGTGCCCGCTCCTCGTGCGGTTTGCTGCGGTGCTTAAGCTGTCGTTGTACCCATACCTTCAATCATTATTGCATTTACCTATCGTTTGTTTTACGGTCGATTATAATTCCGAAGCGACGGCCGTGCGATACTGTAGGAGGCCGCGACCTTCGGTAGCAACGAATACAGAGGAAGCTATGGCGACCATTGAGCGGGAAAGGAAAATTTATGTATATATATAAATATATAAAGCTCGCCTTTTAACTACGAATCTCGCGCGGTACACAGGCGTTTTAGAATGCGGGGCCGTTTAGGGGTGTTACCCGCGTCGATATACGCAAAGAGTTAGCGTTTTTTTCTTCCAATTTTTCGCCCATCCACTCGGCGCGCCGCACGCATTGCACACTCTGCCACCACCGCTGTCGCAGTTGTCTTATCGTTGTCGCGCCACCGCACGCGCAGTTTCATCCACGCGCACGAACACTGCCGTCCGTCGTTGCCCTCCCCGCACGCCGTTCGGATAACGATTCTAATTTACCCCTTTTCCGCCGCAACCTATCCCAAAACCGTTTTCTTGACAATAATTTAAAGTATAAAAATATTATTATTAGTATTATTACTATAATATAAATATCGCGGATTCGGTCGTTCCATTTTACAGCCGCGCAATAATAGCGTTTATAATAGTACTATCATCATCGTCGCCACCACCACCGCCATCGCCGCCGCCTCATCCGTTAGCGCCCCAACGCCGACGGCACCACCTCCATCGTTGCCGCGATCGTCGTTCGATCGACGACAGATTCGTGCGGACGGTACACACACGCACACGTACACGCGTGCGCACACGCGTGCGACACACACGCGCACGCGCGCGCGCACACAAGCTCGCGGACGCGTAACCACGCACGCACGAGCTCACACGCACCTGACGCCGAGCACCACACGCCACTCGCACACGCACGTTACATCAAAGCGGTCGTCGACGGTCGCCGCGCGATATCCGACTCAGTCGACGGACGCAGTTTGCACCGGTACCATCTCATTGCCGCTGTGGTTATCCATCGTCTTGAGAACCAACCCCGTCGGTGTAACACGCGGCCGAACCATGTCCGTCGTCCACCAGTCCTACACCGCAGCCACCGCCACCACCACGTTTCGATGCGTTTTGTTTACTGCAGGTAAGAAAAAATAAACCGTCATCAGCTATCCGCCGCCCCACGTCGGTCCAGTCTGTTACGATATCATAATTTTTTTTTTTTCATTATTAAAATAAATATTATTATTATTATTGTCACGTATCTTAGGCCGCTGCCCTTGTAATTATAGTGACATTAAAGCCGATATCGTTCTGTGGTTGAGTCGTCTGTCGTTTGTCGTGTAATTTGTATCGTATCCAGCGATTCGATCGGCAGTCGCGATCCCGGTACGATTCAATATAACCACGATCTTCCAGAACGTTTCCAGAATTGGGCCGCCTAGCTCGACCTTTATACGTGACACGACACGGCGGACGACGTAATTTACACGCTGATTAATAGACTATAGTATTGTTTGGAGGTAGCTGATGTTTATAACCAATGGTCGTAATTACGTATATATTATTATGATACTTACCAGTAGCAGTCATATTATCAATGCATAGGTGTAGTTGTTGTCGTTTATGAAGTCAGAAATCAGAAATCATCTCACTCATCACGTAGACTTTTTTTCTTTTTTTTTTTTATATATCTTATTCTCTACCAACATCCTCCTGTAAGATTTTTCTCTTGTCTTGTGAAATACGCTTTTTGCGTGCTCGGCATACTTGGTATACTCACCTTTGTTACGTCCGACGAGCAGTTTTTGAACAAGACTGGTTCGTATCCATGAACGAACACTACCCATGCCAATTTCCTGCTTTGTTTCGTTACTTAACACTGTGAATTAAATACCTAGGTATCCCAAGTAAATATATTTAATAGGTTTAAATGGTCTATGAGCCAAGAAACCACGCTCCATTAACACTAGAACACTATAGTTACAATGTATATACAACTGTAATATGTTGAATAGTAAGTTTATAAATTATGTTGATTAGATACATTATATTACCATTTTTTTTTGCATTACATATAAATGATTTACTCGATATGTATTTAGTATAATTTATAGTTAAATTAATTTTTATTAATTATATATCATGTGTGTTGTCTAAGTGTATCTAGAACTCGTATTATAAAAGATATTAACAGACACTCATTATAATAACTACTAGCTTACTTTTTGGAAGTTTAAACTTAAGTTTAATTTTAATTGAAAATCTTACGTTGGTTTATATTTTATTCTGTGTAATTTACTATTCCAGTGAAGCAATTATAATTTATAATTTTATATATTACTAATTTACTAATTTACAAAAAAAAAAAAAATTCATGAAAATTGATTACGTGTAGATATTACTTGTTTTCTTAGTTTTCGCCTAAATGTATTTATAAAACTGTTTTATAATATTATATTATATTTAATTCGTTTATTTAATTAGTTTGTAATTAGTGTTAATATATTATTAAAAAATAATATGGGCAAGTCCGTAATCATAACTAAGACAATTTTTAATAGGAGAAAATTATAAATTATGCACATAAACAATATTATGTTATGTTTTACGTTATTTTTTTTTATACTAAAGAATATGACGTGTTATTCAAATAAATAATAAGATAAATCGATGAAAAATTAACTTATCTTAATTATATTAAAATTACCTAGTTAACCATGTTTTAAATGCCAGAGAGTAACAATAGTATAGATATTTTTAAATTGTATTAGTTTTAAAAAACGATTTTGTGTTAAACGTAGTCTATCCAATATACTATAGGATAATAATAAAATGTTTATTTAAATATAGGTTTACTTACATTTTATTATCACGCTTTGAAATATTTTCGAAAACAACATAACATAACCTCACAAATGTAAAATATAGAATGCATATAAATGCATAAAACTTTAGTGCACCCATAAGATATAACTTCTTAAGAAAATAACCACCACCGCGACTTAAAATTATACCTCTCTTTCTTTAAGTAGAATCAAAATGCTCATAAACATTAAATGCAATGATGTTTACGTATATTATGAGGTTAAACATACAAAGGTATAAGTAGATTTTTTTTCATTAGAGTTGGTGAGTTTGAAATGACTATATGTTTACTAAAATATTCTTCTCTATCTAATATTATAATTGTAATTAAAATTAATAAATATTTTTTTTATGAAAGTTTAAGTGAAAATTATCTCAAATATATATTTAAATTATTTATATTTTACAGGTTTATTTTTATAAAAAGATAATTTGATGGTTTTAGCTTAAGCAAATATAAAATTAAAAATCGTGTTGATAATGACATACAAAGTATTATATTTTATTATTTTGTGGATTAAAACACCACCCATACCAAACTTTAGCATTGAAACGGATTAAATATAAGGTAAAATAATGTAAATAATTTAGTAAATACCTACCAAAGACCTTAAGGCTTGCATTTGTACAATTTAATTTACACATAATACGCATATAAATAATTAATAATAATAAAATAAAAAATAGAAATGGACATTACTTTATGATTATCTTACTATTTAAAATCTACAATCTAAAAAATACATTTTAATAAAATGTTTTTTGCAAATTGAAATTTATTTTTAAATTCAAAGTTTTATTATTGCATATAATCTTTAATAATACAGTCGAACTTCTTTAACTCGAAATCGTTGATATCTCGAACATTTTCTCCAGTCTCTAAAATTTCTTATTTAAACATTACTTTTAACATTATTTTGAATGTATTTTAACATTAAAAAGACAATAGGTAAATTTTAGAACTAGTTATTAATCAACACGTAAATCTATATTCTATAAAATTACGAAAATACCATTAATTTATATACTATTATGAGAACATATTCTAATAATTTTATTTTTTTGAAGTCTATTTTTTAAATAAATTGTTATAACTTTAATTAAATTTATTAAACTATTTAAAAATATAAATTTAAACAGTGCTTTATTAATTTATTGATTATTTTACATTTTGATTTTGAAAAAAAATATATGTATTAAATCTCAAACTATCAAAAAATTTAAATTATTTTAAATTATTTATAATAGAATTATTCTATATACACTTCATCGATTACTTGATGTTTACTGATTATTAAATAATGCACTAGATATTCTGTCAAATACAGACTCTTTAAAACTACACCAATCAATTATTATTATTCCATAGTAGCATATTACATATTACATATTAAATATATAAAGCCTCGTATTACACAATGAAAAATCATAGTCAATATTTTTTTTAAATCTTATTTTTATGTTATATTATTTTATTATAGAATATTATAGATATTAATTAAAATGTTTTGATTTTAAATATGTTTATATTTAGTTCAATATGTATTAGTCAATACTTTTGATAGTATTTATATAATAAACAGTTGACTCATTTTATTTTATACATACATTTTATTGATGAAATAAACTTATTAAAACCAATTTTTTTTACATTTACTTTAATTAATAATTTTAATACTTCATTGATGGTGATGTAGGTGAAATAATCTAAATCATATAAGAGCTAAATCATAAATTGCTTTTAATTTATTGATACATTTTAACAGCATCGAATAAATAATATTAACCTCTCCATATTAATATCTCTTGATTTTTTCTGTGTCTAAAATACTCTAATTACACTATAATCTATACTAAAAAATCATTTTACTCTTAAAATTTTACTGGATTTGATAAAGCATGTAGTAATGTCATAAATTCCTTTTTTTATAATTGAAATACATTTGGTACTTATTTTAATCTATTTCCTGAATTTACATCTTATAATTGAATTTTTATCTTATTATTTATAATTATTTAAAACAACCAACAAATTTCATTACATATTTAATCATTAAAGATTATTATTTTTAAAATTAAGTGTTGATTTTTATTTTATAAATTTTATAAAAATAACATTGTATTTATTTTAATTTTATCATAATGTTTATTTTCATTAGTGATCTATGATTTTTTACAATAAAATATAGCCGGTTTTAGAATATTTCAATTGTATCATTGAATGACCTTCTTTGTTAAATATTAAAAATAAAAATAAATCGTTACCTGTTCTTCGAATGAACAATTTTGAGGACTTATAATTTAATTTATTACTTACTAATTCTGTTGACTTTCAAGACCATTGTAATTTCTATTAAATTGTAATTTTATTTTTTGTTTACATAAATAATCAGCTTCTTTAGTGAATGTAAATATAATCCAGCAGTTATTGTCCAAAATCCAATTATCAATTGAAATTGGTAATGTTAAAAAAGGTTTTCTTCAAAAACAAAATATAAAATATACCACTGAACATCATTAAATTTTTAATATTATGCATCTATTCATACTCCCTATCCCTAATAGTTTCTTCTCAGATCTTTTGTTATTTTATTGAATATTTTCCTCTATTTTCCTACTAAACATAAGATCAATTTTATTAGTTTTATTTTTTGTTTTTTTTTTACAACCTACAGCTTTTATTATCATAGAATAATTCTAAACTATAGTAAAATATTTTTACGACAGATTAAAAACATAAGAAAATAGTGATGTGTTAAAAATAAATAAAATGTTTTATTTCAAAAACGTTTTATTAATTCTATAAATATGTCTTAAATATAAGTCAAAACCAAAATATATTAATAACATTTCACACTCATGCACAATATAAATGCAAATTCAAAATAAACTAGTACTTATGTTAAATTAACTAGGTGCGTATTATAGAAAATCAATGGTTTTAAACTTTTAATATATTCTCTATATCACAATTTAACATAAATAATTTAAAATATTGCTTATATTCAAAAATAAATTTTTCATATAAAAAAAATTATTCTATAAAGCAAATTAATAATACATGTAATTTTATTATTTTTATACATTTGTTGAATTTATTCTATTTTATTATTTTTAATAATACATATATTATTCAAAACTCATCAAAAATAGAAAGTAGAAACGTTATCAATATGATCATAAGAATTTAATACAAACAAAATCAACGATATTAATTGAATCTATAACAGATCTAAATTGATTTTATTTCAACGTATCAATAATGATTTGTCGACACTTTTTATTATTTAATTAAAACAATTTCATAAATTTAGTCACTTTTTTCATTATTATTATTATTGTCTTAATAAACTGTAAAATTTTACTTTCAGATATAGCTTGAGTAAGACATAATTAAAATTATTTATTTTATTATAAATTTATTAAATATGAATTTTTCTTAGATTTATTAAAATTATATTATTTAATCTGAATTTTAATTTAAAAAAATAAAATGTAAAAATATGTCTTATATCATATTTCTTTAAAATTAAAATATTTGTGTAAACATGTCAATATTTGCCATACAAGTTTTTAGATACATTAAATGGGTATATATTTTATATCAATAACATCAATTTTTATTTAACTTGTGAATTATTATATGACTAGAAAGATGATTCAATTAGAATTTTCCACACAATTGTAGTTAAGTAATTATTTTAACTTCTGTTTAATTTATTTTACCACAATATAGATGAGCTTAAACTTCATCGCGAGTTCCAAACAGTAGCTTGAATTTTTTTCAAAACAATATATTTTAATTCAAAAGTTATTGTTTTATTTTCCAGAAACCAAATCAACTAAAAACGTAAATTAAAAAGACTTTTTTCTTCGAAAATCAATTTTTGTTTTTATTTTGAAGTCAGAAATAAAAATAATTAAATACAATTAGATGTTGAAAAATATACCTACTATTATTTTATCAAAAACTGTACAATAATTAAAGAAAAAAAATAATCCATAATGTACTTATTAATTAATGTAGTGAAAATGGAAAATGAAATGCACTAATTTTTTTATATATAAATTGTACAATAAAATTCATCAAAAATAGTTATAACTACTTATAACCAATTTTTGTAAACTTAGTTTTATTTATTTTATTTCTCATGTAATACCATAATATCACGCAACATTCTTAAATGGTAATAACATTGTGGGTATACCTATAATTTCTTTTGAACTTTAAAATTTTTCTATAACCTTCGTTAAAATTACCTACCTATATTAAACCCATTAAAAGAAGAACGGGAGACGACTTAAAAACCTATAAGTGAATTTTCTTTTTTAAACATAATTATGGGCGATTGTAAACTCCACCGATTTACAGGTAGTTGATTTTAGGGTTGGATTTATAACATGTAAATTCCACCGATACATTTTTTTTACCTGAAAAAAAAATGTAAACTCCACCGATACGTATTTTTTCGTCATTTAAGGCAAACAATATTACCAGTATACAATTCGTCAAAGCTGCATCTAAACATTATCAAACCAAATTTTAAAACCTAATTTTAAAACCAAACAAATTTTTTTAAAACCTAAATTTTCTTTGATTAATTATTTTTTATTCATTTATTTTAATTAACATTATTTTAACATCGAACTAGTGATCACTATTAATTATTATTATATCATTTATTTTAATATTGTGTAAAAAAAAAGATATAAGTATCTAAATATAATATATATAAATAATAAATTTTTATTAGATTTTTATGATTTTTTTTTTTTAAATTATTGTTAATTATTATTAATAATTATATATTTTTCAATTTTCTATTATTGATATTTGATTTTTATGATTTTTTTTTTTTTAATTATTGTTAATTATTATTAATAATTATATATTTAATAAAAATATAATAAATCTGCACCCACATAAATTATGTAAACTTAATTAATCAGATTGAATTTGGATTACAATTTAAAAAAAAAACATACCAGTGGAGTTTACATTTTTTTTTCAGGTAAAAAAAACGTACCGGTGGAGTTTACATTTTTTTTTCAGGTAAAAAAAACGTACCGGTGGAGTTTACATGAAAAAAGGTCTAAAAAGGTCGCAATCGGTGGAGTTTACATGCGCCCATAATTATTGAAAATTTTTAAGTCAAGTCAATATCAAAACATATAAACTATTAATATTTTTATTTTTATATTTTTATACACTTTATACCAGAGAAATTTAAATTTAGTTAACAATTAAACATTCATCAAATCAGTGTAATTTATAAATTTATTTAACATTATATACAAAATATAATGTAATAAAAATGAAATTATTTAATTAGTTCTTTCGAAATTGTTATACATTATGTACACGTATAAGCATTCATAGAATATAATAATTCAAAAATGAAAATTTAATGTAAGTATATATATATAGTACTTGTAAGTTATTCAAAATTGTAATACCAATCAATGATTAGCATTCTAAAAACAGTAGGGAATTATATAGAACTAAAGGAATTTTTATTTTTATAGTTTTAGTTATTTTTAAAAGTTTTAAAATTATAGGTCATGTTTATCTGGACATCTGATAAATAATTTTTTTTTCAAAAATCATAAAAAATCTAATCATTTTTTTATTATATAAAATATTTTTAATTATATTACACTATTAATAATATATTTAATAAATGATCTATGAAAACCTTTTTTTTTAATTATAAAATATTTTTTAATTTGTTTTTAGCAATTGTGATGTTTAATCATATTCTCGTCGCTCCAATAAATGCCTTACAAATATATGAACAAAATAACATAAAACGACAGTATCCAATTACTACATTTCAAAAAGTGGTAAGTAATTTGTTTTATTGTTATTTAATTATTTATTTAATTTTTGTGATTAAATTATTTTAATAAAAATATCATATCATGATTGAAATGTGAAAATTAGTATAAATCAGAAATGGGTTAACTTTCTAACAAACAAGTAACAATTCAGTTATATGCACAGTGGACAAAAATAACATACATTTTAAAATTTTTTTTATCAAATTTATTTGTTTTACATTACAAAATCATGGTTTGTTTTCCAAGTTGAGTGAAGTTATAAACTTAATTTGGAGATTCTCGGGAATTATATAAATACTATATATATAAATTTGACCATGGAAAAAATATGAAATTTTTTCTGGCTAATAATTAAAAAAGGACAATAATTTTTTTAGAATAGCTTTGCAAAAAAAAAAGTTCAATATTACTATCAGAAATATAATACATAAATATTACATTACATAAAATTATTAAATTACATGCATATTTTTATATTTCTTGTTGTTTCTCAGTATAATGCACAAAATGTACATGCTTATTGTTGAAAAATATTATTGATCGACTATAGATTAGCGATACGTACAAAAGTGCTCCGCTAACTATTTTACATAATTGTCACACACATTTATGATCATTTTCTATACAAAATTGCATAAGTATTTATATTTATAAAATTGTTTACATGGAATATCTCTAAAAATGTCAGTATTGAATCGCATTGTACATTATTAGAAAATAACAAAAAAATAAATAAATAAATAAAAATTGAAAAACCACTTCGATAGTAAATAACGAAAAATAACAACTTTTTTGTGTAGATCCGCTGGATTTATAAGTGTCAAGAAATGTTTGTTATTTTATATTCATTATTCGGTAAATAAATTCAATTTAATGTAATGTCAATACTAGCTGATTCATAAAAGTTTTGTAAATACCTTAATATAATTTATTAAAATGTCTCAAAATTTTCAAAATATCGAATAATAATTACAGTTTTTTTTTTTTTTTTGTACACACACTTAATAGAGTTTAATTTCATTAAATAAAAAAATGAATTGATTAATTGGCTGTAAATCTATATATTTAAATAGATACAATAAGATAACCCTATTTTATTTTTATTTTGTATAATCATTGTATTATTGTAGTATAAATGTATAAATACACTGGTTTATTAAATGATTTTTTTTTATCTATAGTTAATAGTATTAGGATTTATTAATTGTTATGATATTTAATATAATAAAAATGATTTGGCTCGTTCAAACTGCAATTTTAGTTTATTATCTAATTATAAGTACTTATACAGATATGATACACTTATCATTTAATTATAACTCAATTTTGATTGATGATCTCAAAAGTAAACTCTGAATAGTGATACATTTTTAGTTTTTAGCATGAATATTTTCTATACAAAGCAACAGTATAATTTATTATTCCTGCTTATTTTATGAATAATATCACACAATTTGTTATCAAATAGTGTTAATTATGGATAAAATAAGACTTAGGTATATAATAGAGTCTAATATTGCCTCATTTTAGAAAAAGAAAAGTTCTAATTAAATGTTATTCGAGTTATTAGGTAGCCCAGTTCTAATTATTGTACCTTAAACCTTAATTGATTGGAAATTAGTTTAAATTAAAAATATTAATTAGATATATAGAAAATAATTAAAAATGTACAGTATTACATGTATACAATTTTCTTCATCATAAATAATTCTCGATTAATTAATTATATTGCTCTTATGTGTGTAGGAAAAAAATAGAACAGTTTAAAAATTACACTTTAAAGGCGTTGAAATTTTTAAATATATATCTAAATGGGAACAAAAAAAATATAAAAAGTACAGTTATTAGCGACCATATGACTCTGATAATTAAACTACGATCGTTTTTAATTTATCTAGAGAATAAATGCACAACGTCTATATATTATGTATACAATCTATAAAAATTGATTTATGTATATAATATAACTCAAACTATCTATATTTTAAATTTTTATTTTCATATATTTTATTTTTTAAATATAATTTACCAAATTTAATAAATGTAAGTTTGTTCTCAAAAGATCCAGAGTAAGATAAGAATAGTTTGGGTAATTTAAATAACATGTTTTGTCAAAAAAAAAAAAAAAAAATTATACACGTATACATTTTTACATATTTCAATATTTCGTACATTTTTATATATTATATTGTATTGTTTAGTATTTTTTTCAAAATAATTTTAATCTAGTCAATAATATAATATAATTTAGTTTAAATTAGATAAGTGTTAAGACTAAATGTACACAAAACAATAGGCGTTAATAAATACTTTAAAATCTATTTAAATAAATTTATAGTCCAAAACCAATGTAAATTACAAAAATATAACAATATAGTCTATAAGCCAAAATTATTCTTTTAAAACAATTTTAATTTTTTTTTTTTTTTTTTAATTCAATAGTACAATATATAAGTAAATATAATTAAAACGTATTAAATATCAAATTAAGGTTGGTTTAGTTTTTGTATTGTACATTATTTGTTATAATTAGAGACCAGAATTGTATGCAATTGCATGTTCATACTGAGTGTATGCACTTAAACGAGAGTTTGAAATGTGGGCGATTCAGGCCCAACTGATTCCATAGACTAAATTTAATTTTGCATATAATGGCATATTTGGAAGGTTGAGGAATATTTTTTAATAAGTGCATATAATGTGCTTATTTTTTATAATCTTAGTAGATAATCAAATTATCTCATGTTTTTATTTTGGAAACTGTAATTGCTATACTGGCGAAAAAAATTACCGTCTACACTCTACACAGTATAGAATTTTATCTTCTCTAGTTTGATACAATGTTAATAAACTATTATCTGACAAATTAAATTACTTTTAAAGTTACTTCTGTTGTGTAAAAATTTAGCATTCATTTATTGGCTACACTGCAAATTTGAAAAGTAATATACTGATTTAGATTCGCGACATTTTGCCGTTTCACGTACTACTGTACTATATAGTGTACTTAATACCTATCGGCTATCACGTTTTGTTTACTGTTTAGTGAAGTTGTTGTTTAATATTTTTATTTCTTGTCTTTAGTGTAAATTAAAAACATTTTGAAAATATGTCTAAAATACGAACAATTACTAAGTGTTTGATAAATCAATGGATTGAACCATATAACAAAGACACTATTGTGTTTACAACTGATGGAAAAGTTATTTACTGTCAAGTATGTGATCGACAAGTACCGTGTAATAAAAAATTCCAAATTACACAACACGTTAATACATCAATTCATGCAGATTCATTGAAACGAACCTTAAATAATAAAAAACAAATGCTATTAGGAAATGTATACAAATCGAAAACCAATAACTTCAACGAAGATCTCTGTTTGAGCTTAGTAGCTGCCAATATACCATGGTTTAAACTTCAAGTTCCGCAATTAAGAGATTTCTTGCAAAAATACACGAATCAACATATACCAGACGAGAGTTTACTTCGAAAATCTTATCTCGAGCCATGTTATAATAAAACAATTGAAAATATAAGAGAACAAATTGGGGACTCCTATATTTTTTTAATTGTGGATGAAACAACAGATATTAATGGTAACTACATAGCTAATCTTTTAATAGGTGCGTTAAGTAGTGAAAACTCTTGCAATCCCTTTTTAATTGCTAGTAAAAAACTAGAAAAAACAAATCATTCTACTATTTCACGTTTCATCAATAATGGCTTAAGAATTTTGTGGCCTAGTGGTGGTAATGACGAAAAAGTTTTGCTGTTATTATCAGATGCAGCCCCCTACATGATTAAGGCAGGTAAGACATTAAATGTATTTTTTCCCAACATGATACATGTCACATGCCTAGCGCATATGCTTCAAAGAATAGCTGAAAAAGTGAGAGAATTATTTCCAAATGTTAATACACTGGTAAATAATTTAAAAAAAGTGTTCTTGAAAGCGCCTCATCGTGTAGAAGTATACAAAGATGTCTTGCCAAATGTAGCCTTACCACCAGAACCTATACTAACTAGATGGGGTACTTGGATCAAAGCAGCCACCTTTTGTGCTGATAATTTTGAACAACTAAAAATAATTATCATTGAAAAATTGAAAGAAAAAAATGTGGTCAGTATAAAAAAATGTGAAGATATGCTTAAGTTAGACTCTGTTAAAACTGACCTTACATATATTAAAACTAATTTTTTTATTCTTGTTAAAAGCATTAAAAAATTAGAGTCATCTAATTTATCTTTGTTTGATGCAACAAAAATTGTTGATGAAACTATTTTAAACATGGAAATGGTATCTGGAAATAATGGAAGAATTATTAAAGAGAAAGTTTCTGATTTAATAAACAAAAATGGTGGTTTTAAAATATTAAAACAGATATCAGATGTTTTATCTGGAAAAGAAGGAAGTTTACTACCTCAAAATTTTACACCTATGATGACTTCTTGCATGAAATATGCACCTATAACGTCTGTGGACGTGGAACGATTCTTTAGTACATATAAAATGATATTAAGTGAAAAAAGAACCAATATGACTCCAGAAAATATGGAAAGGTATATTGTTATTAATTGCTATGAAAACAAAAAATAATTGTTTATTTTATATTTAAATATTTTATTGATTTACTTTGATGTTGAAAGGACCAACATTCCTAATTTTATTATATTTTGTTTGTTTAAATCGTTTTAAAAACATATGATATTATTTTATAATTAAATATTTTGTTGATATACTTAGATGTTAGGTCCAACACTCCCAATTTTATTATATTTTATTTGTGTTAAAAACATATAATGATGTTTTATTTTATATTTAAATATTTTGTTGATTTACTTAGATGTTAGGTCCAATACTCTTAATTTTGTAATATTTTATTTGTTTTATTTGTTCTAATGTTTGTAGTTATTGTTTATAATAATATAAATTTATGATGCATATTTGAGCATATTTTTCAATTATTTGTGCATATTAATGCATATTTTGACCCTTTTGCTTTGCATATTTGCATCATATTTGCCACATTATTAGTGCATATAATTCCGGTCTCTAGTTATAATAATAATGAAAAATTATCTACACTTGGATTTATTTACAACACCTTCAAAGTATTAATCCATAAAAATTGTGACTCCGCCATAAATCCCTTGTGATTAAAAATGTCTAAAAGCATACAGATATGCATAACAAAAGGACGGTCTAGAACAAGGATCATAGAGCCTAAACCTCTTTGTGGTGAAGGTAAAGGGATTTCAAATTTTTTAATAGGGTTGTCAGAATTAAGTTTACAAGATTTAGAATTATATCAATAAATGTTACGTTAGAAACATTAAATTTTTTCATTATGTTTATTTAGAAACGTTTACCGGGTGAAAGCTCACTAGATCCCGTGTCGAATGCAGACGATGAAATTCAAAGGTCGATCCGGAAAAGCGCTGTTTTGTATAACAAAGTTGACTTGACAACAAGTAAAGATACAGCTATTTAAATTATAGGGTATAATTGGGTGTATATGTTTATTGTGTAATTTTAAAATCAATTAATTAATCACATATAGTAAGGGAATATGATATAATTATATATTTTCCTTTTAAATTATTTTTTTTTATCATATTACATAGAATTTTCTCATAAAAAAAGTATATAATTATTAATACCTAAGTATTAATATTTATAATATGATAAATTATCGTCATTTGTACTTCATTATCATTTATTTAAATAATTAAATACAGTTCATATATTTAAAATACAAAATAAAATTATATAATATTGGCATTATATTATTATGGTGCTAATAACTGATACATAAGCGTAATTTATATATTAATAATATATTTATATCAGTTGGCTTCAATCTATGACAAAAAATGTTTTTTTTTATTCCAGCAACTCAATCGAATATTGTTGCGTCACTTTTCCGACTAAACGAAGAAGAAGGTAATACGTGTATTCTGTTAAGGGTAGATGCTGTCATAGAAGTAAAGTTCAAAACTAAACTAGGTTCTGAAGACGTAAGGGTCAGAAATAAATTATTTAAATATAAATTTGTATTTATTATAATATTATTCTATGGATATTATGTGAGCTACAGCAAACTGATCTCTATGTTCCTGACGACGCAGAAGTAACTGGCGATTGCAGCAATGAAGATGATGCAACATTAGTACTCAAATGGAAAAATTTCGTCTTTACTTGGTACTTCACAAAGGTAAAAATATAATCATTATTTTCATTATTTAATTATTTAATTTATTTTAATTTCAAAAAGTGTTTTTACTTGGGGTAAAATAAAAGAATTGCGGATCTTCAAAAAATATTTTAAATGCTTAAAATAAAGTTTTTTTTGCAATATAAATATCTAAATAATAAAAAAAGATACATAAGTGAATACTCCTCTGCTGTACATTAGGCGCTGAGTACCTCAGTCACTATAATAGGTGTGTTAAATTTGAATTCAATGACATACCTCGTTATGTACAAAAAATGATTCTGCGTGAAAATGATCTACTGGTCTATATCATCAAGTAAATATATGCTTTTTGATAAAGCTACTCGTGTTAAAATAATATATTTTAATTTAGTGTTATAGACTATAGTAAGATGATTTATATCATTACAAAAATAATACATTTATTTTATTATAAGTATTTAATAATTATAATAATATTAAAAATTTATACCATATGATATCTACTTATATAATACAACATTTAGTACCTAACATATTTCTGTAAATACCGTAAAACAGTAAAAATAAATTTATAATAATTATAAATAAATAGATAATATTTTAAAATAAATCGAAAATATCAGCGTATAGTCAAATTTATAATAATATAAAATACATAAAGGTTTAAAATCTCACGAGAAAGTTTTTAAATTTTGACAGAAAAATTAATATATTGTTATTTATTATTTAAAGAATTAATTTATTCCAAATTGGAATTAAAAATATTTATAAAAAACAATTTTCTTGTTACAGTTCTTAGACTTTATATTTTCAATATAAGCTATTTATAAAAAATTTTATATTAAATTTTCAAAGCTTAGACACCAAAAGATAAGTTTTTATTAATGTTTACTATAAAATAGTAATTTTTCGAGATGATTTCGACGAATTTCGTGAAAATTTGAACTTCAATGCATACAAAAAAAAAAAAAAAAATGCGCTTACATACATTTTTAATATTTTATAGAGATATGAGAAAATATTTTGTGGGATCTTGTATTTTACCCAGCAAATTTTCATCCCTATAAATAGCTTAAAAATAGTCAAAATATTTTTAAAATGTTATCTTAAATAAAAAATGATAATATGAACATTTGGAGAAAATTTAATGTCACTATAATTATTCATTTCCAAGTTATAACAAAAAAAAATCCCGATTATAAAAATAAATACTTATAAATTTTCAGTTTGACCTTTTTGTAATACAAACTAGATCCAATTTTATATCTAATACTACTCTCATATTTAAAAATTAAACCATTTTATTAACAACATATCGCATACTCATTCACAAAAAAAAAAAAAAAATAATGAAGTACATTGTTGTAAAATCAATACATTCATTGCTCCACTAAAAATCTAATATAATAATTTACATTTAAAAGTAATTGCATTGATTAATTGTATTGCTATCAAATATATTATTAGTATACAGAAAATATATAGTTTTTAAAGCCAATACGTATAGAGTTGGATATTTTCTTCACAAATGAGCTAAGTACTAATAATAAATTGGTTGTATAAGTATCATTGGCTTTTATTCTATCTAGTTATAACTTAAGTTCACAATGCTTTAAAGTTTTTATTCCTGATCAATTTGTATTTTTATGAAAAATAAAATTAATGATTATGTGTACAACAATAAAATTAACAATGGTAATGTAATGTGATAACTGATTACATAATTGAGTATGTTATATATATATACTAGCTGACCCGGCCACGCGTTGCTGTGGCTAAATGTTCTTACACTTGATATTAAGCAGACAGTCTTAAATTTTTAAACGTTAATATCTAATTTTTTAAATTATAAATACTTTTAATTTTTCTATTTAATTTAACACCAATCGGTGCACAATGCTTTTGGTTAACCTGTCTTTAGCTAACACAAATAGATTCGACAGTTTCTCAACACGTGAACACGCAACATATAGTTGCCCATGAGAAAAACATGGATTTTCCAAATCTAAACCACAAATGGACATTGTTTGACCTTGAGATTTATTTATAGACATGGCGAAAGCTAAACGAATTGGAAACTGTAGCCTTTTGAAGGGTATGGTAGAATCTGATGGTATCATCGGAATACGTGGCAGCAGGACCACTTTTCCTTTAAACTTCCCAGACAAAATGGTTGCTTCAAGAATATTTCCGGTAATCTTTTTGATGGCCAAACGCGTACCGTTACATAATTGAGGTGGCTTCAAATTACGGAGGAGAATAATGGAGGAACCAATCTTTAATCGAAGATTATGTGGTGGCATTCCAGGGATATCTAATGAATTTAAAAATTCATTCGGAAAATTTACACTTTCATTTTCGTCAACAACAGTATCGATTGATTTAAATGACATCAGATCGCCTGGTAACAACTGTTGTATATGGAAGTTAATTTCGTCAACATCAACGTTTTTGGCTGCCAAAATCGCCCGTTGACTAAGCCATTCATGATTCAAATAATTATTCTGTATATCCGGGAAAATACTCTGAATCAAATCATTTTTATCCTGAACAACAGTGCAAAAATTGTCCGCGAAAGTAGAGCGAGGTATAACCGGTAAGGTCTGCCGGAAGTCACCAGACAAAAATAAGATAGCACCACCGTAAAGTTTATTATTGCTGTTTAAATCTTGCATAGTTCTGTTTAGTGCTTCAAGTGAATATTTGTGTGCCTTTGTGCACTCATCCCAAATTATTATAGAACTCTTCCGCAACACTGCAGCTATTCCACAATTCTTTTTGATGTTACACATTGCATCTGGTTTATTATGAACGTCCAATGGCAGCTTGAATGTTGGATGTGCTGTTCGCCCACCATCCTAAAGTAGCCGCAATGCCTGACGATGCTACAGCTAATGCGATTTTTTGTTGCGACCGTATTTTGGCAAGAATCAACGATATTAAAAATGTCTTACCGGTTCCACCGGGTGCATCCAAGAAAAAAAAAACCGCCTTGTTCAGCAGCAACAGCCAGCATAATCCGATCATAAATAATTTTTTGTTCTGCTGTCAGTAATGGTTCACTGTTCATGATAATTGTTGCTGAACTTCCATGGTCATATTGATTTTCTCGTTGTAAATCGGTATTGACTAAGTCGGTGGCTGGATGATTAGGTGATGGCATACCATAATGATTAAGTGGTAAATTTGAAATAAGAACACATAAATCCTCGATCATGAGTCATGACCAATGCTTCATTGTACATCTCTGGTGTATAATCTCTAATTTGGCATTGATTTATGTGTCTAATTCGGTGCAAGATGTCTTCTGTCATACAATTTTTATATGTTTCCCACAAAGTTTGTGCTTGCGAGGGATAACATGTCGTCAAAATAATTGCAAACAACTGGCGAATGTTATTCGGTGTTGATGTCAACGCAGCATCAGCAAGCGTTAAGTCCCAATGGTTATCGTCTTCTAGCAATTGCAGTTCACGACATGCATCCTGGTATGTATTGAATACTGGACCATTAACTGTTCGTAAAAATTCAAAAGACGTTGGTCCGGGAACATTCACCAATAACAAACGTAAATAGAAGCACTCACGTTGCTTTGGATGTACCGTGTAAAGTCTCCCCAATGTCTTAGCTTTGAATATGCCAATATTGACATACTTTATCCATTCCACCGATAGCAATCATTGAATGCGCTGAGTAGTTAATATCTGGTGCATAATCAAAGGCAAGCCGAACGAATGATGCACGTGTTAATGAGCGGCTGATCCGTTGCCTTTGTCGATCTCTTTCTCGTACTGTAGCTATGTTTCGTTCTCGTGCCGCTCTTGTTCTCGTAATATTCTGTTGCAGACGTTCGTCACGCTGTTCTTGAGATTCTCGTGCACGACTTTCTGCAGTCCTAATTCTTTGAGCTGCATTTCTTGTTTCCATTTGTTCTGGTAATTGCTGAGCTCTTTCAACACGTTTGCGTCGTGACCCTTTGCTGCTCACGTTGTTGAAGTTAGATTTTTTCGGTGGCATGTTATCATAGCACATAAATAAATCTTATAATATAAAACCAAAACGAGCTTCCCGAAAAATCCGCCAGAATGCGGGCACTTTAGTGTTCCGACCAATCGAAAAATTACGATTTTTTTCTTCCAGTCGTCGTTATCTCCCGCCGTCGTCGTTATCGTTATCTCCCGCCGTCGTCGTCATCGGTTGGGTTATTGCTTATTACTCATTATTATTGTTTTTATATACCGTTTTTTTTCCGCTTTTCGCCCGGTTTTCCGGCCTTTCGAGACCTCTTTCCGTCGCGTTCTCGACGCTATAGCCCGGAGCGGGTCTTTTTCGTCCGGTCCGCGCGTCTCCGGATTTCGTTCGCGTCCGGAAAAGCGTACTCGCGGCGCGTTCTCCGGTCGGTCGTCGTATCGTCAATACTGTTTTTTTTTTTTTTACGATACGATAAATCGTTTATCCGTATCGATTACGCGTTTTTTTGTTTTCGGTGTCTCCGCCCTCGGACGCCTCCGCGACCTTATCGTCTCGATAGCGTACGAAATACGATTATATGTGTATATATATATAATAATAATATTATATAAAAAAAGAAACGTGCGTACCATTGTTGACGTACGTCAGATTATGTTTATTATATACAAAAAAATCGCAAAATCGTTGCTCTTCAGTCGTTGTAATGCCTTTAATCGCATACCTTTGGGGGGGGGGATATCGTGATATGTGTATGTGATAATAAACTCGGTACGTCGTTGAGACGTATACGATTAAAAAATGTAAACGAATACGTCGAAAACGTTCTAAACGACAATAAATATGCGATTTACGGTTTCGTGACACGCGAATCGTAAAAATTATACGGGTCAAACGACGTATAATGTAGTATTCGTCGCATCTCTAAAACGGTTTAAGTGCTCGAGATTCGGTTACGGATTTCAACTCATACGGTAGTCGAAAGGTGTTAGGATAGGACTCTCAACGTTAGGTAGGCAGGTTCGAATCCCGTTCCGGCGTATTCCGGG